AAATAATGTGGTAGATTGAAAGCAAACTTTACGGGAATATAAATAATGCGGTATGTATCATAGCGTATCTACGGGTATTTTTAGTAATACTGGACACTGTTATCATTACCCAGCTCAATCTTCGATTTTCACATGTGCCTAATTTAATTCGAGAGGTAACTGCTTTGAGATGGGACGTCTGAATCAACTAAATTCGTCAGTTTCAAATGAAATAGATTTTGTCGAATCTGCGACTGAAAGAGTCGAAAATTCGACGTAGGTTCAACATTTGCTTTAGAAGTCGCATTTTACATGTGCCGAATAAAAGGAACTGGTCAAAGATTAGAGGGGAGGGGGGGAGAAGCTGGTGCAGAAAGGGGGTTGGTCAGCAAATTTTATGCCACGGTAAAAGGGGGGCTGCAAAAATTTACGTAGGTGTACTAATAATTTTTCTGAAGACATTATTAAAGTGTCATCAGATAACCAAAATTATTTGTATTGAAAAGAAAATGTTTATTAATAATCTTTGCAATAACAATTTTACACTGAATTGTTAAAATCCCTTCAACTTTCATCTGACTCGTCATTTTCAACTCACTCATCGTTTTCATCTGCGATTATTTTCTTTGTCTTTACTATCACTAATTACAGCGGTTCCTGTCCCTTCATCACTACTTCCTAGAATTTCCTTTACATGCTCTTGGATGTAAGAAACAGATTCAGTAGATAGCATTCTTGTTAAGTTGGAAAGAGCTTGCCTTCGAACTTTGAATTGTCCTTTTCAATTACTTTTTGAGAAAGAGGAGCATTTTAACTTCTCCATATTGCTTGCACTTCTAGAAGCTTTACGCTTCTTAGCCTGTCTTTCTTCGGTTCTCTTTTTGAGACCGTTTTTTTTTTCCTTTTGTTGTCTGAGTCATGTGTTTGATCAGGTCTCTGATTTTTCTCAACTGTTCAGTAAGACTGGCCTCAATGTCTTTTACTTTCTCCTCCTGCTTTAAAAGTTTTCCAATAATATCCTCATCAAATCTTCTTGGATACTCAGAGACGTTTGTTTCTTTTCGGAAAAAATTTTAAACGAGATGGGGGGCGGGGTGGAAAAAAAAGTGTGTAATAGGTTTATGGGGTGATGAAAAACCAAACGTGGTATACTTACTGATGCACCAGCCCCGCCCACCAGCCTCTAATTATTTACTGGTCCTAATGCACTATTATAGAAACACTTATCCATATTGGATAGAAAATTTTCCTAGAGACTGGGAATATTTTACAACAAAAGGGGTTAAATTCAGCACCATCATATCCGACGTCTGAATCAACTGCTGTAGTTTAGTTACTTTCATCGACTAAAATAGGTGTTCAGCACTCATAACACATTTTACGTTGTAAAGAGGTCTAACATGACATAAGCTTCAGCTTAGATATAGTGGTTTGCAGGCTGTAATTAAGTTGTTGTTTTCTTTGCAGTAAGAGTATTTCATATCTCTCTTTCTAAATCCATTTTGTTAATCGGCTTGTGCAGCGACTGAAGAATCAGCTGTAATAGTTGAGTTTACTTTCTATTTGACCTGATTTGTGTGTCACTGAACATGGTTTGTATACCAGAAAGAGCGATCAATTTTCATCCATCTATCAATAAAAGCAAATGAAATCACTTCTCACTATAGCAGACAACCTCGAGCCGTGACTTCGTCGTATAAATATGCGGTACCGAAGAAAGACGAAAAAGCTAAGTTGAACCCTGTTTTATCAAATTATTTTAAGGTTTAAACTCGAAGCTTTATATGATGTAAAATAATTAAAATTTACTTTACTGGTATCACTTGTAATAATAATAATAATAATAATAATAATAATAATAGTGATAATAATAATAATAATAATAATAATAATAATAATAGTAATAGTGATAATAATTACAATGGCGATATGAAACTGAATATATGGAACGAACAGCTCCCAATTGGCTAAAGAGCATAGTTAACACAAAGGTTATGGGTTCGAATTTCGTAGCGTTCAAATTTCTTCTCAGGTAGTATTAAACGTCTGGATGCCTTCCCAGTAGTAGTAAAATCATGGGACGAAATAATGGATTTACCAAGCATCAAAGGCGCACTTAAACGATAAAGACCACCTTTGCACACCTTTGTACATCTTCGACGTGCGACAAAGGCGTATTTGATCAGCATTTTAGCTCCTATCAAAGGCGTCGTTCAAATATGTCATTAACGTGCGTCAAAAGTGCAGAAAATCCATTTTTTCCTCCCCTGAAAAACTAGGAGTTGGGCGTCTGAGCGTAACCAACCTCCGCGCCGTGAATCTCCCATATGTCAAATATTGAATTATAAAAATATAGACACTATCATTATTATTATTACTGTATTCAATTTGCGCAGAGTTAAAAGGACAAAAGGGAACTGAGAGGGGTAGAGAAAACCGCAGGTCCCTTTTTTTTCCTGAAATTGTGTTAAAATTTTTAAGAATTCTCGGGAAAATCTGTCTTCAAGAGCCTTAGTTTTTAGACTCAGAAACTAGAGTGTTTTTGACTCGAATTAAAAGACGTAATATAACTAGCTAGTATCCCGGATCCCTCTTTCTGAATTTTCTGAATCTATCTTTGAAAAAGGACTTTAGGTAGCAAATTCTTTGTTTAGATTATGCACCGTACCATGTAAGGCCGCTTTGCGTATATAAGCCATTAACATTCTTAGGGATTTATGGTCCCAACAAACTGACGAGCCGTCCTTGGGCCTGCCAGCTGGTCTTAGTGGTATTGACATCACTCAACACCCTTAATAGACTCCACTATGGTGTAAGCACTGGGGCTACTTAGTCTGCAACTGATTATTAGGCTTCCCTCTACCCTCCACATAGAGACGTTTCCAGTAGGAGTAGTGTTCTAGTACAAAGTGCATTGAATGTAAATGGATTTTTTTTTTTATCAGCGTCACGTTCTGTCTGTTTTTACTGATTCTCACTTACTTTTGCTAACTCCTTTAAATTCGTAGTGTCCATATACTGAACCAGAAATGACATCTCATTGTCCTTATCTACTTTCACCAAATCACCTCCAAGAAGAGAGCAGCTCCGTCTTGCATCATTCCATGTTTCATTTTTGGTTTTGTATATGTAGCATGATGATCCATTCAGATACCAATCAACAGGGCAAGCCAGTGGGCCTGACAGATTGGACAAATAGACATGCAGATAAAATGAATTAAGTAAAACCTTACCAGTACAATTGCTCTAGTAATATCAAGATAGACGGGAATAAGAATTTAATGAGACAAAACTGAGCTTAAAAACAAGAAAGTTCTTGTGTCAAGCACCATCAAGAACAGGTTTCAGGGGATAGCTACGTTTTACTCGGAATTGGCCGAAAGCATGTGCAACGTACATACCTGATTAAAATTCATAAACGTCCCAGCAACCTAAAGTTTAGAAGAATGTTTCTTTATTCACTCCCACAAAAGTAAGCCTCATCAAGATCATGTTTCTCGTGGAAAAAGTATTCTTTTCAAATCGTGCTGCCAAAGGTTTCTGACACATTTCTCTAATTTGAAAAAAACCTTGACTCACATGGAAGGTATCACTTACCCTCATTTAACATGCAACTACTGCTCACCTTTTGGTCTTTCACAGATGTAATAGTGGCTTGCCTTGCAACATTCAGTAAGGTTCCAGCCTTTTCCCGAAAACTCCACGCATTTTGTTACATTCTCGTTGCTTGTTGTGCTTTCAAGCCAGTTGATGGATGAAAAATTGTTAAAAGAACTTCCGTCGATCCATTGATATCTGGCCAACTGAGAATCGTAAATCAGGCCAATCCAAACAGTATTGTTTTGTATCGTCGAAGAGGAAAAGTTATGAACAAATTCTTGTTCCTTTTTACTCGTTATGCTAACAAGATTGCCCCCAAATCCAAGACACACGCGTAACGCTTTTAGCCAACCAAATGTTCGCGAATTTCCAAACGTACCCATCACCTTATAGCAAGAACTCTCCAACGCTTGCCAGCCATCAGGACAATCTAGAGCTAACAAGAAAGTAAACAAATTCAAAAAAATAATAAAAATAAAATAAAATAGAAGATAAAGAAAAAAAAGAAAAAAGCTTTTTAAATCTCCTGGGACAAAATGGCCGCCTCGTGACAAAGGTCTATTGACGAGTTCAGCTCTTAATTGGTTGACATTTTCTTTACCTTCTATCTGAAGGGTTAAAGTCTTGACGTAAAAGTTAAAAGTCATTCCTTTAGCTTTAATTACCGCACGTGTTCCGTTGTCTTTGAGTTGAAGAGCACTGCTTTCGACTTCTAACTGGGACGATAGAAAGCTCCATAAACTCTCATTGGCACCCTGCCATTTAAGCTGGTTTTTAAAAGATGTGCAAGATAAAATCATCGCGCAGAATGCCTGGACATCATTAATTAATCATAGTCATCGAAGCGGCAAATTTGAAAACGAGTGCGCTTTGAATAGCCCAGAATTAGAAGACAAAGGGCCCAAATTGGTCAAGCAGGGCTAGTAAAACTTGCTTTTCTGTTTTTCAGAAGTTGTAATCTTAACTTTCACGCAAGACGTTTTGGAAAGCAATGATGTATCAACATTTAAAGCCTTAAACGAAGGAATATAAGGAAGTATAAAGACTGTTTTTTTAACTCGAAAATTCGGAAAAAACGGTCATTTTCAGTATGGACGCCACATTTGACAGCGATTTTCTGAACATTTTCACCAGCTTTCATATTTTCACGCGCGGTAAACGAAAGATGGGGCCTTTCTAGAACAACAGAATCCGTTTTAATTTTCAAAATCGGTAAACGAGAACCACTCTTCTTTTCGATTTGAAAACTGCTAGTGGTTGCTAAGTTTGAAAATGGTGCACTTTGGGCGAGTGGGCTATTGTTTTAAGTCCTCGACTGAATAACAATGGTTGTTAAGACTGATGGTCCAGAGAAGCCGCGAACTTTTAAACTGATCACGTTGCGTCAGCTTGTTCATTGCACCTGCCGACCAAATCTTGCAATGAACGTGGAAAAAGAAAATGTTACGGATCGGGAGCTCTTTTCAGAGCTCTTCGAAAACCCGATCCACCCTTTACAAATTCATATAGTTCCTCCATTTGTTGACGAAAACAGCCCGACGTTCCACCTGCAAATTCATGGTGAAGAAGTTTACAGATGCAGAGAAATTTGTGGGAAGCCGGCGACAGTGTTCAATTTACTTCAACTGAGTGTCAAGCCGCTTGGTTACCAGTTCGAGGAGTTTGCTCGAGATCGTATTAGGCACGCAATCGCGGAAAGCATTCGGCGATTTTGGCGAAAGATCCAAACCACGGCGGACGGAAAAAGGAGAAAAAAATAGAACTCACTGAGACTTGGATTAAACTGGCCATTAAATTATTAATTTCAGCAAAAGATCAGTAGAATGTAGAATGTCAGGGAACGTAAAGAAAGGTTTCAGTTTGCTATTAGCGAAGTGCTTTGAATTCGTTCAAATTAAGGGACTGGATTATTTAGAACAATGAACACATGAATGTCACATTTTGTTATGCCCGCTTTTTTCAGGGAGCGAGCTTAAGTATTTTAGCTCTATTGCAAAAACTGAACTTACTTACCAACCATTTTCATTGGTTCAATTGCTTTTGGGGGTCAATATATTAGCTAACATCTTTCGAATGGAGAAGCAAAACATTACAATCAGCGACGAGTGTTTTGGCTTCCGCCCACAATTTTACTCACCTCGCAGAGAGCCTATTTACGACACAATCGAGATCTCGCACGCGTTAAAATAAATGGAAAATTTCATCTTTCTTTCTGTGGTTTAACTTTTGAACAAAATTCCCGTTCACTGTGAAATATGCCCATATTTGCGATTTTGCGAAACAAAAGAGCTAAAAGGAGAAAACAATAGCGTTCTGCTTTTATTGTTTAGTTTGCCACCTATAACATATTAATGAGCTTCGCCGTGCATTCTTGGCAACTAATGGCTGAAGCGCTCTCATAGAGTCTCTGCATGATTGCCCGTAATATGACAGATCTACGAACTTTGTTGAACTGGAAGTAAATGTCCCGAGAACAATTGGCATTCTGCGCGATGTAGAAGAGGCCATTTTGAACGAGTTATGTAGTTGAGTTCGAGTTCACTTTTTAGCCGGTTGTGGTCCCCGACTTAATCGCTTGTCGCTTAACGTTAAAGGCCCATGTTCACCCAAACGGCTTTGCGCGCCTGTGTTTTTGTTTTGAAACGCTTCTCTTGTCAAATGCAGTGTTTTGATTGGCTGACACGTTTGCGGGGTTTTCTCTTCTTTTACGCTTGGCCGAAGGCTGTAAGAAACAGTAAGACTAATTCCAAGCAAGACTAATTCTTTTCAAAATGGAGGAAACCATGTCATTAGATGTCACCGGAGAAAGCAGTTTAGGGTGTCAAATTGTAGTGAATGCTTATGGATCCATAGTTGAACACGATGAAGACGATGAAGGTCATGTAAGGACCGAAACGTCTGAGCACGAAGTGAGATTTTTTTGAATTCGAGGTCCGATTTGACTGTGAAATTTTTCGATTTCCCAATCTAATCTTTTGTGTAATTTCTTAGGAAGCTCAGGCCATAAAATGCAACTGCAAAGGAATGTGTTCTCGAAAGAATGAGCGAGGAAGTTGTTTTTGTAAAGCTTCAAATCGGCACTGGTAATTAAATAGTGACAGGCCATTCACAGATCCCGCAAACGTGTCGCATAAATGTTATTGCTCTTCTACATGTAGCGTTAAAGAGATTAACTACAGTTTGGCTTTAACCAGTATATCTCTTAAGGAACTGCCTCTTTTATAAGAGATGATCGGAGGTTCTTTGAACATGGTAATTAAATAGTGACAGGCCATTCACAGATCCCGCAAACGTGTCGCATGAATGTAATTGCTCTTCTACATGCAGCGTTAAAGAGATTAACTACAGTTTGGCTTTAACCAGTATATCTCTTAATGAACTGCCTCTTTTATAAGACGGACACTAGAAAATACTTGAATAAGAAACGCAAACATCGAAAGAAATTAGCTAAAAACAGCATTATCAAGAAAGCTGAAGAGATTAAAAACACTTACATCAGAAACCTCTCAAATTGCAACTTGACAACTGATCAGATAAACCTATTATCTAGGGGCCTTCGTTTCATCCCATCTCCACATACTAACACTAANATGCGTGTACTGGAATGTCTCAGTAGGCTTGAAATAAGTACGCGTGTCAAGGATAGATTCCTTTTCAAATCGTGTTCCTTTGTAGATGCATGTATCAAGGAAGATGATTTCTTTATCGGAAATATCAGCAGTGAATTTTATTGTAGGATGGTAGTTATTTGCATGCTCAATGAAGTTGTTAATTTCCTCTCTATTAGTGTTGACTTTCCTTCAAACTAGATTCAGCGAACTGTGGAAGATGGACGCGGATTAGCTCTACATACCGAAGGCGGCCATTTTCAACTACGCGAAATTAATTTTCTAAACTACAGGGCGCGCAATGCATTTAGGGTGAACATGGGCCTTTAACATCATCAAGTATAAGACTTGCATCTGACCATGTTAATTATTCAAAAGTGATTTTCTTTGGAGATTGCAAATATCTAAGTGAAAAGGAACAATGTAAACCGCTTCTAAAAGAATTGATTAATGCCACACACTCGGGCAGAGGTTTTCTGACAAATTCCCAACCGCCGGAACCGACAAGATGAAAAAAAAGCTCGACAAAGGCCCGGGGAGGGGCACGCCTGAAATTGACTGAGCCATAACACTTTTTATTACGAGTGTTATATCGGGTTTTAAGTGCCTCGAGGGTGTAAAACGACGTAACGTTTAGTTCTAATTAGCCTATTTAGGTTTCCTTTATTTTATTTTTTTTTAAAGCCACCTCTCCTCTGCTCTTAGGATGACACTTATTCTTGGTCCTAACATACAGACATAACAGTTTTAAGTTCTCATAAGCGGACATTCCAACTTAGCGGATCAGACTCTTATCTAGGCCGAATTTCAAGAGGTTCGACAGGTGTTTTTCATGGGCAGAAAACAAATAATAAAAAATGATTTGACTTACCAGCTTGAGTCATGGCGGTCACTAAGAGGAGCCAGATCAACAAAAGTGAATTGACCATTGCAGCATCAGATCTAAAGTGAGAAAATGGCATTTCATTTCACCGTGCACAATTCGACCCCCGACCTCTCCGCTAGCAAACACCTTTATTAAGCGGACATCTAAGTGCACACTTCTCCTTGGTCCAAGGGTTTCCGAATACTTGGCGACCACGAGGTCACGAGGTTCTTCGATTCACGTATTTCTAGTCAACACTTTGCTTAAACAAGTAGTACCATCACAAGTTATCATAATGTTGCGGAGTGCTGGACCACTCAGGCATCTAAAATCGCAGAAAACGTCTGACCTGCACAATTTCTTACGCAGTCGCTTTCTATGTTGTTACGCGACACTTCTTAGTTCTGGGCAAGATTAAAGTCCGCGAACTGATCCTCCTCTCGTTTTATTGATTTGCTATCCCACCTTACGAAAATACAAAAATTTTGACTAAACACCTTTTCGATCAAACCGTTCATTACAGTTTTACAAGTTTCCAAAAAGCACTCCCCATTTAAATTTAGATTTCATTATGTGACGGCGCCAAATAATTTTTAAGCTTTAAACAAACTAACATTAGTTTTATTCCTTGATCTTTTTATGTTAAAGAAATATAAGTCGACCAAAATCTTCAGTGTCGTTTTTCACAGAGTTCACGTGCAACAAACAGAGATAGCGGAAAAACTAAATTCGAGTCCTGTTTTATCGTTTTTCGTTTTATGGAGAGAAAAAAAAAACACAACAAAAAGGCAAAACGGAAATCTTGCTATAGCTCTTTCTGGTAATTTTTCGCTTTCTGTTCGAAAACAAAAAGACGCAAAAAGTAAAAATAATAGAAATCTACTACCTTTTTATCATCTTATCTTACGTTTTAACATGCACAGACAAACGGGAGGACCAAAGGCGGCTTCCATCGCATAATTCTTTGTTTTATAAACGAAAAACAGAAAACTGGAAATCAACTTTCGTTGTATTGTATTTGATTTCACGTTCGAACGAACGCAAAGCACTATGAAGTACGAAATCGACTTCCCTTTACTCGTTTTTCTTGTACGTTTCTTTGGTGTTTTTTTTTTTTCCAGTCTCGCGTTTTCCGACTTATGTATGAATGCATATGATGGCCTCTAGAAAAACTGGACCTTTTACAGAGATCATAACATGTCTATAATTTGTCAATTTATAGACTTTTTATAAAGTGCAAATCTAAATAAAGTCCCCTCTTAGTAGTATACTATGTTGGAAGATAATCCTTGTTAGTGCCAGCAAGTGCCTAGCAAGTGCTTAGTCATTGCCTAATCCTGCATAATAATTTGGCCTTCCTGCATACTATTTAAGTGCCTAGTCAGTGTCTAGCCAGCTTGGTAAAATCGCGTTCGTCCACACTAGTAAGTGTCTTCCTAAATATGTAATAGGCGTCTTTATTATATAATAGGAACAATACGTTTGCCTAGGCTTGCCGGATAAGTAACTCAAAAGCCCAGTTTGAACGTCCATTTAAAAAATAGGAATACTGAAGAGGAGCGATCACCTAGAAACGCGAGAAACGGCTTATGTCTTCCATTTAGAGCTAAAAACCATATAAACAAAACATACACACACATATGGAAAGTGGAGCGGAAAACTGTTCATTTCAATTTAGACTGACTATTAAGAGAGTGTCTCTGTAAGAGCGGTCCGGTCGATTTTGCTTGAGACACAGATTTAGCTTCTCGTATGTTGTAAGACATTCGTGTACCTATACTAAAACAACAATCCGTTTGATCGGATCTCTTTATTTTTCAGAGTTTTACGGAAATTAAATTTCACTCGAGCGAAGGCCTGTCGTGACACTTTTCAAGACGTTAATTTGAGGCAACTTTGGCGGACAATTTACAAAAAACTACGGGACTCAGCAAAAAACAAATACCGCAGCCATGTATATTAACTCTATCTTATCCATCGAGGGAACTTTCGTGAACATCACGTTTCAATCAAGCAAACAGGAAGACTTGAACGACACCTTATCGGTTCGCTTAAGTCACACACGCGAAAACCGATCAAATTCAAGGTATATTTTTGAAAAAGTGAGGCGTTCTTAACTGATCCAACTAATATAGCTAGGAAGTAGGTGCCATAGAAAAGGTAACTACAGAAAAAAACTTTGCGGCCCGACCTTTACTAAAACTTTATAACTCCGTGAACTTACCTAATTTTCGGCAATCTCCAAGTTTTGCCGCCATTTTGAGGGACTTGTCAACATGAAGCGTAGCAGATATAAATCGAGCAGGTAGATCTAAAACTATCAGAAATACATACGAAAGCATTCAAATGAACTGCACTTTCAATTCAAGGGGCAAAATTTGAAATTGTTCGTTAAACCTACCATTCCTGCATCCCCATGCGACCATTTCTTCCAACAATTCAAACACTACAACTAGCGGTCGAATTTCCCTCGTCGATTCCACCGTAGGAAATAACCTGTGACACCCAAGCTTCGACTCGAATGTGAAGTACGAATCAAACAACATAACTGCTTCATCTTCAAGGCCATGTCACGCTGGTATTTTGATTTTCTGATCGACAAGAACGGTGATCAGGAAGTGATCGCCATGTTTACCTCATAAACGTGACCGCTGACCAGCCGCTGAGTGAAAACAGTACTGAGCAGGGTGGTGTGGGTGGCGGACTTATCGTCATAAGATATTCGAATACATGCTAACAAAGCTTTAGGACTCTCAGTCTAAACAGTGAAGGCATGCTTCGTGGTACAGACAACTTTTATTTTATTCTCATAACTTTTTCCTTTAAATTAGAACTGGTGTTAAATAATAGAGTTATTTAAATATTTTTAACCGAGGTACCCATATGACCTTTTTGCTTGTACTCAGTGGTATAAAATAAGGTGTCTTTTCTTCCAGAACTTTTTATTTATGCGTTATTGCACGGAATGAACACTATACTTAGAAGGTTTGTTCTAAATCATTTTTGCTGTTCCCAAGAATGTATGCAAAATCATTGCTTTATACAAAGCTGACTCTAAAATATGATTTTCCGTACAAATGTCATTTACGTAAGGTGTTAATAAAACTAGCAATGTACAATTTTTAGCGTTTTCCACTCATAAGCCTGACATACAATTGTCAAGTGAACTATGTTAGTTGCAGCTCATTCCTTGATTCGATGTGACCTTTTATCACTAAACCCCATTCTTTTCATTTGCAATTTTCCTGTACTTTTATTTTCATACGACAACGACATAGAGTTTTATAAGTAAACTGATTTTTTGGTATACCACGCTTATCACATTGTATATACAAATACATGCAAAAGGCCGGCTAAATAAGCTTCTCCCCCTGCTCCTAATTTTTTGGGTTGCCTTCGCCCCATGCCTCTGCACGACTCCCATTTAAATGGCAGCTGGAAGAAAGTACAGATTTCCTTAAACATGGAAACAGCAAAATAGTTCAATTTTTCCTCCTTGACGTAGTCACACAAGTCATAAATGTCATAGACAATCGGATGCGTTAAGCCAATTTCTGTTACAACTGATTCGACAGTGGTCATGTGATTCACTTCTTCCTCGTCAATTAATTCCTCGTCAGATTTATCGTCAACCGCGGTGCTCGGAGACGAACCTGCCCGTCTCCATCTCGAGGAGGACAAACGGAAGAAAAATCCTTGTAGTCTTCCTTGTATTTTGGCTTTGGCTCGCCACACTTCCCGGGAAAACAGGTGCTCTCCGTTTTCCCCCTTCGCTTTCCTCATAGCTTGCGAGACTTTTTGCAGATCCTCTTTCCTTCCAGGTTGCTCACCAATTTCAAACTTGGAGGTGAGATACTGCCTTACTTTCTCTTAGAAGCGAACAGCGCCACCCTTTGGCTTATGAAGTGCCCATCCTTCACTTAAATTCTACTGGAAAGGTTCGCTACCCCGTCTCTCGATAACATTGGTACTGTCGTCTTCTGAAAGGGTAAGGGATTAGAATTTTTCAACCCAGCTTAAATCTAGAGATTTCAAAGCTGTTCTGATCTAATGTCAAAAATAAAGGAAATGAGCCATGAATGCCAGTGCTCAGTGGAAGGATAATTACACCATCAAGCAGTGAACCAAAGGCCCTTGTAGCTGTCTATAATGGAGAGATTGTAAGTTGGTTATGAAAATTACACTTTTTTTCTTTTGCTTTGACTTTGTGACGTGGTTTTGTCACAATTTGAACAGACACGCGTCACTCTTACGTAATGTTTTAACGGGAAACCAAGCAGCATCATTTTATTTCCAAGTAGGTATATATTCAGCCGTTCTTAGCCACCATTTTGCCATAACAAAGTATATGTATATGTTAAGAGGGGTACAAAAAAAACCCATTTTACTTGTAACAACCTTTGTGTTTTTTATATTTTTACATACTTATAAAAAATTGTAGAGGGTAAATGAAAATGAAAAAGAAAATGTGTCCTGCATAGCAGTCTTTCAAATTTCCTTTTAGCCAACAGGGAGTCGTGCAGAGGCATGGGGCGAAGGCAACCCAAAAAATTAGGAGCAGGGGGAGGAGCTTATTTAGCCGGCCTTTTGCATGTATTTGTATATACAATGTAATAAGCGTGGTACACCAAAAAATCGGTTTACTTATAAAACTCTTTGTCGTCGTCGTATGAAAAAAAAAGTACAGGAAAATTGCAAATGAAAAGAATAGGGTTTAGTGATAAAAGGTCACATCGAATCAAGGAATGAGCTGAAACTAACATAGTTCACTTGACAATTGTATGTCAGGCTTATAAGTGAAAAACGCTAAAAATTGTACATTGCTAGTTTTATTAACACCTTACGTAAATGACATTGGTTACTGTTACGGAAAATCATATTTTAGAGTCAGCTTTGTATAAAGCAATGATTTTGCATACATTCTTGGGAACAGCAAAAATGATTTAGAACAAACCTTCTAAGTATAGTGTTCATTCCGTGCAATAACGCATAAATAAAAGGTTCTGGAAGAAAAGACACCTTATTTTATACCACTGAGGACAAGCAAAAAGGTCATATGGGTACCTCGGTTAAAAATATTTAAATAACTCTATTAATTAATACCAGTTCTAATTTAAAGGAAAAAGTTATGAGAATAAAATAAAAGTTGTCTGTACCACGAAGCATGCCTTCACTGTTTAGACTGAGAGTCCTAAAGCTTTTTTAGCATGTATTCGAATATCTTATGACGATAAGTCCGCCACCCACACCACCCCGCGCCGTACTGTTTTCACTCAGCGGCTGGTCAGCGGTCACGTTTATGAGGTAAACATGGCGATCACTTCCTGATCACCGTTCTTGTCGATCAGAAAATCAAAATACCAGCGTGATATGGCCTCGAAGATGAAGCAGTTATGTTGTTTGATTCGTACTTCACATTCGAGTCGAAGCTTGGGTGGCACAGGTTATTTCTTACGGTGGAATCGACGAGGGAAATTCGAACACTAGTTGTAGTGTTTGAATTGTTGGAAGAAATGGTCGCATGGGGATGTAGGAATGGTAGGTTTAACGAACAATTTCAAATTTTGCCCCTTGAATTGAAAGTGAAGTTCATTTGAATGCTTTCGTATGTATTTCTGACGGTTTTAGATCTACCTGCTCGATTTATATCTGCTACGCTTCATGTTGACAAGTCCCTCAAAATGGCGGCAAAACTTGGAGATTGCCGAAAATTAGGTAAGTTCACGGAGTTATAAAGTTTTAGTAAAGGTCGGGCCGCAAAGTTTTTTTCTGTAGTTACCTTTTCTATGGCACCTACTTCCTAGCTATATTAGTTGGATCAGTTAAGAACGCCTCACTTTTTCAAAAATGTACCTTGAATTTGATCGGTTTTCGCTTGTGTGACTTAAGCTAACCGTTAGGGTGTCGTTCAAGTCTTCCTGTTTGCTTGATTGAAACGTGATGTTCACGAAAGTCGCCTCGATGGATAAGATAGAGTTAATATACATGGCTGTGCTATTTGTTTTTTGCTGAGTCCCGTAGTTTGTTGTAAATTGTCCGCCAAAGTTGCCTCAAATTAACGTCTTGAAAAGTGTCACGACAGGCCTTCGCTCGAGTGAAATTTAATTTCCTTAAAACTCTGAAAAATAAAGAGATCCGATCAAACGGATTGTTGTTTTAGTATAGGTACATGAATGTCTTACAACATACAAGAAATGAGCTAAATCTGTGTCTCAAGCAAAATCGACCGGACCGCTCTTACAGAGACACTCTCTTAAGAGGCAGTGTCTGTAGAAGCGGTCCGGTACATTCGGGTTCGAAGTATAGTTTGCCCTCAAACTTTGCCCAGTAAATCATCTTAGTTCATAAGTAAATGAAACGACTTTGGTTTTGGGAAACTATATTTCAAAATACAGATTTTAGAGCACTCAACTGTCAAACTTCCGAATGCCCTAAATTTGCTTCTGGCGATGGCCGAAGCTCGCTTCTCCAAATCCACAAGAGGCAAAAAAAATGATTATTATTTCTAGGGTACGGTGTTTATCAACATTGGGAATAACATGTGAATTTTGAATTTTGTTGAACTGTGTCTACAGGAGAATTAATTTACTAGTACTTAGGAGAGGCTATTATGAAAGGGTAGAAAAGTAGCCTATTTTCCCTGGCAATTATTCTGTAAGTCCAGACCTGCCTGCTCTGATTTTCTTTTTAAATCAACTTAGAAGATGCTAGAAAGTATAGAAATATAAAAACACTTTGCGCTTGTGATCTTCCTTTAACGCAGACGCTTTGAACTTTTGGTGTTTTTGAAGACACGACCCCAGTCAATTATGCAAATTAGCTTGTTCGAGAAATAATAATAATATTAAAAATTAAAAATTTATATCGCGCCTTTTCCATGCAAATATGATCAAAAGCGCGTGACAACACGTAAATGTTAAAAGAAAATAAAAGCTAAAATGAGCAAAATAATTAAGGCTAAGAATAAACAACGCTAAAAATTTCATAAAGATTAAAAAAAACACTAAATATATTACATAGTAGGTTAAAAAAACTTACGTATCAAAAGCTAGTCTAAAAAGATGCGTTTTAAGTAAAGATTTAAAACGTTCAAAATCGTCCTCAAGACGGATGTGAAGGGGCAGATTGTTCCATAAATTAGGGGCAGCAGATGAATAAGCTCGATCCCCTAAAGTCTTTTTCAGTTTTAAACTAGGATACTTTAAGATAAGACCGCTAGCTGAACGGAGATTATAGCGCGGCTGTTCTTTAATAGCAGTCAAATCGATCAAGTAACCTGGCCCATGACCGTAGATAACTTTAAAAGTAAAAAGAAGTATTTTGAAATCAATACGAAATTTGACAGGAAGCCAATGTAACGAACATAGTATTGGTGTTATGTGACTGTAGCGAGGACATTAGATATAAGCCGAGCAGCTGCATTCTGCAAGCGTTGCAGTTTAAGTAGATGAACAGAGGGTAAACCAAATAGAAGGCTGTTGCAGTAATCTATACGACCAATGATAAAAGCATGGACCAAAGTTTGTGCAGACTCCTGGGACAGATATTTTCGGATACGCCGAATATTGTATAAATGGAAAAACCCACATTTACAAGTGTTTTGTGGATCTGTTCCTGGAGATTCAAGTTAGAATCGAACCATGTCCCTAAATTTCTTGCCACAGTGACAGGAGCAACGTCAATGCTTTATACGTTAAGGCAATCAATATTTACTTTGGAAAGTTGTTGTTTTGTACCAATCAACATGAACTCAGTTTTGTCATCATTAAGTTTGAGCTTATCCGTAAGCATCCACGTAAGAATGTCCGATATACAGCGTTCCATGGCAATAACCGCATCAGTCTGATTAGTAGCCGTGTCAGGACTAAACGACAGGTAAAGCTGAGTGTCATCAGCATAGGCATGTGCTTCAGGTAGATGGTATTTGATGACTTCAAACAGTTTGCTAGAATAAACGGTAAACAACAATGGCCCCAGACACTATCCTTGTGGAACGCCATAAGGAAGCTTAAAACTGTCAGATGTAAAGCCATTTAGCGAGACTCGTTGCGACCTGTTGTTAAGATAAGACGTAAACCAATTAAGGGCGGTGCCATTAATGCCGATACATGACTAAAGACGAGCAAGCAGGATATTGTGGTCAACAGTGTCAAACGCTGCGCTCAAATCTAGGAGAACTAGAAGAGTTACATGCTTGCGATTCATATTCATGAGAATGTCATTTTGTACCTTCAGTAGCGCTGTTTCTGTGCTGTGACCCTTTCGGTAAGCGGATTGCGAGGTTGGATAAAGGGCGAATCGACTTATATGACTCTGAATTTTGTCGAAAACAGCGCGCTCTGTCAATTTTGATATAAAGTCCAAGTTACTGACAGGGCGAAGGTTATTCAACTGCGTCGGGTCTAAGCCAGGTTTCTTAAAGATCAGAGTAACCAGAGCTTCTTTCCATTCCTCAGAGAAATGGCCGCATGATAGCGAAAGATTTATAATTCGTGAGATAACAGGCAACAGCACGTCAAGGCAGCAAACAGCAAGAGACGTTGGCATCGGGTCCAACGGGCGGGACTTCTTAGCAGACTTACGGATGAGCGCAGAGACGTCGTTTTCCGAGAGTGGTTGAAAGAAATGAAAAGCATGCGCAGCATCTACTTCCTGATCAGGAGGTAGCGCATTGCGCGCACTTGGATCGATGTCTACGGCATCAATATCAAAACGAATTCTATCTATCTTTCGAACGGCAAAACCGCCGATGTCATTGCCTAGTTTTGATTTGTCCTGATAATTAGGAAACGAAAACTCCTCTTTCTTAGCAAGGAGTTGTTTGGTAGCCCTGAATAATATTTTATGGTCTGTGCTATTCTCATCAATAAAATTAGTGTAAAATGCCTGCCTGACCTGGTTCATGAGGTACGTCACGCGGTTTCTGTAAGACTTGAAAATATTCAAGTCAGACACAGATCTCGTTCTCCTCCAGGTTCTCTCAGCCTTACGTCTCAAGCGTTCAGCGGGCTTTATCTCGTCGTTGTACCAAGGCACTGCGGGTCTAACTTTCACAGTCGTAGTCTTAAGTGGGGCGTGACAATCAATTACTTTGGAAAGTGTAGTGTTGTATCTGCGTACAAGAGCATCCAGGTCACGTGGATCTTCTGAGTGAAGATGCACTTGCAGATCCGGTGGATCACTACATAACAAGGAGTCAGATAAGCCCCGCTTAAGAGATTCAAGATCGACGGATTTCAGCTTTCTGTAGACAACGTTCTTAGTAGTCATGCAAGGTCTGTCGGGAATGTTGTACCCTTCTCATTTTTTGGCTCATTCGTCGGAAATATTCCTAGGCTAAGCAGTTCAATAAAATAAGTTATATTTCAGTTTAGAATTGTGCTATAACTATATCGAGGCTTTAGAAAAATACATATCGGTTTGATAGTACCCGCTTGGGGCCGTTCTGAAACATGCCGAAAAACCCTGGCTTCGCTGGCAAATGTTTTGATATTTCAGTCCTAAATGCTCTAATTGTCGGGTTAAAAGCAGCTAAGGAGGTACTTGTAAGTATAAAAATATAGAAATATTCCGTTTCTTTAATCTTCCTCAAACATAGAGGCTTGCGAACATGACCAGCATGTTGCCAACAAACTGAAACAGACAAAAAACCTCTCTTTTCCCATGTGTTTCAAACAAATTTTACCCTTAGATTAATAAAAACAGAACTTTTTAAACCTCAAAAATTAGTTTAAAAAAAGCGATACATATTTCTTAGTTCGGTTAGTTTGAAGATGCCATTAATAACAAGATATTTGGGAGAGTCTTTTCTTATGTCACGCAACTATCGTGTTCTTAGTGGTAAACTTAATGTCAGTCAGGTATTTCATATTTCTGTATGTATGTATATATGTAAATCTTTATTTAAACACGGGAAATCATCAGTTAAGCTTAAGTTAAAAACTAAAACTAATTACAACTGCTTTACATGATTGCCGTGTGGGAATCCGATATATCAGCTACCTTCTTGATATTTCGCTTAAAATGCTCAACGGATGCAGCGTTTTTTAAGTTTTTGGGCAAGTTATTCCATAACATGGCCCCGCTGTAAGAGAAGCTTCGTTTCAAATAATTGGTGTTTGGTTTGGACAGGGTCAGCCTTCCCTCAGAGTTTCTTAAGTTGTAAGCAGAGTGACGCTGAGAGAAAAGACTTTGTAGATATTTTGGAGCAAGGTCATGTATGGTTTTATACATCATTAAGGCTTTTTGTTTCTTTCGTCGAAGAGATAGCCTCTCCCAGCTGAGGGTGGAGAGAAGGTGGTTTGAGCTCGCATCAAAGGGTGATTTAGTAATAACTCTGGCTGCACGATTCTGTAATTTTTGGAGCTTATCACTCAAGTAACCACTCAAACAGTCCCAGACGGGGCTGCAGTAATCAAAATGAGGCATAATTAAAGCGTTATAAATTTGAATTGCAGTTTCTTTGGATATAAAGGGCCGCACACGTTTTAGGGCGCCTATAGCTGAAGAGACTTTCTTGCAAATCTCTTCAACGTGTTTACCCCAAGAGAGTTGAGCATCTATGGTAAGACCCAAGGATTTGGTATGATCGACTCTCTTGATAATTTGGTCATCAATTTTGATTTCTACATCGTCACATTGGGCAGATAGTCTTTGTCTTGATCCAATAATCATTAGCTCTGTTTTAGCAACATTTAGACTGAGCTTGTTAGCTTTCAGCCAACAGCTAAGGTTATTTAATTCAGGGGTTAGAGCTAGCTTAAGCTCTGTTAACGTCTTAGCAGATAACGTAAGGTTGGTGTCATCGGCAAACATTCTTGGTACGGCGCCCCGCAGGGAGTTGGGAAGATCATTAATGTAAATTAAAAATAGCAAAGGACCCAATATGCTACCCTGCGGCACGCCGCAACTGAGGGTACGAGCAGATGATAGTTTGCCACTGACATTACATCTTTGGGTTCGGCCACTTAAGTACGACGAGAACCATTTTATAGCTGCCTGATCGACACCCAAGTATGACATCTTACGCAAGATGATCTCATGATCAATGGTGTCGAATGCCTTAGTAAGGTCAATAAAGACAACGCCATTTAGAAGGCCATTGTCGATGTTTACTGACCAAGCATTTGTTGCCTCAAGCAAAGCCGTGAGCGTACTATGTAGAGAACGGAACCCTGATTGGCAACCTAGTAGCAATTTATTATCATCTAGATAATGGAAAAGTTGATTATAAACAATTCTTTCAAAAACTTTCGAAATTATAGGGATTACAGATATTGGCCTGTAGTTGTTAGGGTCCGATTTAATGCCCTTTTTAAAAAGTGGAGTCACTTTGGCTGTTTTCCAATCGTTTGGATATATCCCAGTGAGAATAGACTTTGAGAATATTGAGGTAAGAGAGGGTGCGACGATATTAGCAGCCATTTTCAACAATTTACTCGGAATCATATCAAGACCGGTGGCTTTCTTTTCATCAATTTTCGACAAAACGTTAGAAACAATATCAACACTCGGAATTTGCAGAGAAAACGAATGATCAGTGGGCTTTAAATAAGACTCAGGATTAACATCGACAACAGGAATATCTTGTGCTAATACTTGCGCAACGTTTGTAAAGTGATCGTTAATAGTTTCCGCAATGTCCAAAGGGTTACTTGCTATTTTATCATCTACCTTGATCTCCAAAATATTCGTTGACTTACCACTGTTACGTGAAGTTAGCTCGTTGATAACATTCCATGTTTTGCGCAAATTACCTTTGTTGGCTTCCAGGTTGTCAGAAACATAGAGTTTTTTTGCGAGTTTAATTGCGTTATTTGCCTGATTTCTTGCACACCTAAATTGATCCCATATAGCCGGGTTATTGGAGGAGATTGCCTTCTTTTTAAGGAAATCTCGTTTTCGGATTTTGCTCAGTAACTCTCTAGTAATCCATGGAGATCGTTTTTTCCGAATTCTTTTGGATTTAAGTGGTGCGTGTTTATCGACGCAGCCAAGAAACATTTCTTTCCATACATGCCACATTTCATTGGGATCAGAATACAAATCAACATTGGCCCAAGGTAGTTGATTGAGGTCACTTAAGAATTTTCCTCTGTTAAAGTGTTTAAATTGCCGTGTTTCAATCACGCGAGGGCCAATACGGCAGTATTGAGTCTTACGTGACAAAAAAACAAGAGAATGATCACTTATGCCAAGGTGAATGACACCGGAATTTGTAATCTTCTCTGGGGAGTTCGTTATACATAAATCAATTAATGTTTTTGAGTCCTGGGTGACACGTGTTGGTTCAGTGATTAACTGACTAAGACCATATATATCGAAAATGTTTATCAGATGGGAGGAATTAACTGTAATTGCTTCAGGCAACAAATTGCAGTTGATATCACCGAGTAAATATAATTCCTTATTTTCCGCGTCAATTTTAGCAATAACATTCTCAAATTCGCTAAATAAATTGGGTGGAGAACTTGGGGGTCGATACCAAGTACCGACCAGAAATGGTGTACTTCGTGGCTTACTGATTTCAACAAAAAGACACTCTAAAAGATCATTATTTAAATCATTACGTATTCGATAGTTCAGATTAGTGCGTACGTATGTACATACTCCACCTCCATTCCTTCCGTTAATTTTACGATCTTTTCTGACTATTTCAAAGCCAGGTATGTAAACTTCGTCATCACGTACTGTAGAGTCTAATTTTGACTCGTTGATATGTAAAATATTAATTTTTGAAGAGGACATAAAAACTCTAAGTTCGTCAATATGAGACAACAGACTATTAATGTTAAGGGATGCTATGGCTAAACCTCGACCAAAGA